CACACATTAGTTAGCATAAATCAGTTAAATGACGAAAAATTAGGTGTCTATTTGCTTGTGACCACTCAGTGTATATCAAAAACTTGTTTAAATCAATCTTTGTTAATTATGAAACCGCCGTTTTTAATACATGTATTTACTAATAATCTAAACCAAGTTAAAAAAACCTGGATTTTGTTGCAGTATCTGTCTCCATTCAAATCGGCAAGCATATATATATATATATATATATATGTGTATATATACGCACACACGTCTGTATTTATAATATTACCCTACTTCAAATATTTGATTTATAACAGCGGGTTTATAATTTTGCTTAAGGAAGAATACATTTTTACTCCTAGCGGTCGCAGTGGTGCCAATGTGACTTTAAATAAAGTAAAGAGTATGGGATATTCTAATAAACACCCACTACCACCTAACCATGGGCTGACTGTGACTGTACCCGGAGCTGCCGCAGGATGGGTTGATTGTGTGGAAATGTTTGGGTCACGAAAGGTACTACTAACTGCTGGATGAATTATTTCAAATTTATAACGAGTTACTCATTGGACTTTTATTAAAAATAAAGAATAACTCTATATTTGAAGGAGTATATTAGAATATGTTATAAATCTTTTTTTTTTTCATATAATTTAGAAACAATCAAGGAACAACCATTCAACTATAGTAAATCGCATTTTTATTTTGGAAAAATGTTCCAGTGTCATTTAAAGCGTAGTTAAAAAAAACTAACATTTCAAAGACACAGTTCTGTACAATTCAATAATATCATGCATCATTTTCAATTTTTTTTTTTTCGTAGCACAGTTGACTATATCAGAGATATTAAATCCCGCAATTCGATTGGCAGAAGAAGGCTTTCCTATGTCTGTCATTATGTCAGATGTATGGGGACAAAATGCTTATTTACTTGAAGCATCAAGATACGGACATGAACTACTACTTGATGGAAAGCCTCCTCGAGCTGGAGAGGTGATGTGCATGCCTTCTTTAGCAGCTACGTTAAAGGTATGCGAGTCTTTTTAAATTTGTTTGTTTGTTTTTAATTATGCACAAAGCTACACAAGGGCTATCTGTGCTCTGCCTACCACGGGTATCGAAACCCGGTTTCTAGCGTTGTAAGTCCGCAGACATACCGCTGTGGTACTGGGGGGCGCCTTTTTTAATACTGATACACATAGGCACCCAGTTTCATGGGGGGTGAGGAGTGACTTCCAAGTACTCGGAGCCTATGCTCATACAACACTTAAGATATTTTGTAAAATGTTGCGATTTTTATTTATAGAATTTCAACCTTCTCCTGTTGCATTATATGTTTTTTTCAAATCAGGATAAAATTATAAGGATATTCTTGTGTATTAGGAAAATGATTAAATGGCATTACCCATAAAAGGAACAAAAAAGGTATATGTTAAAAAAGAACAAACACCATAATGTTACTATACTTAGCTGGATGTACATTCTATAGTTGATATGATTTTAACTTTAGAAACCTCATTCATTGAACTTCCTTTATATATCGCAATGTTTGATGTAGGAATTGGCTACTAATGGAAAAGACGGCTTTTATAAAGGACGAATAGCCAGAAGAATAATAGAAGAAGTTAGCTATGCTGGTGGATGCCTATCATTAGAAGATTTCGAACATCAGGTATCTGCAAGTGACACTATTCTAACGGACCCAATTAGCACCAATTACAAGGGTGTTAGGCTGTGGGAAATCCCTCCTAATGGGCAAGGTTTAGTGGCATTAATGGCATTAAATATACTTGAAGGATTTGACCTGAAAGGTAGGGCGAAACAAAGAACTTCTAGACATTTAACTTAAGACATCATCATTTGAGAATATAGTCGAAAATTTTAAATATCAATTACCTATTACTAGTAGAAACGCCGCCCTAAAGGCTGCTGTTTGTTTAATCATTGTATTCATACCTCATTGGGAAAAAAAAATTAACATTTTGTAAAAAAATATTTTTTTTCTGGAAAGTACTGCACGGGAAAAGTGTTCGGGTTGTGTTCTTTAGCCATACGCAACTCATTGCATGAAAATGTTTCAATGTACAGTGCTCAAAATTTTCATAAATTTCATTGATATAAACTTTAACGTTTTTATGTATTAAAAGTGGTACCGTTTATTGAAATAATAATAGTATTTTTAAGAACTCCAGTTTTTCAGTACTACATTTAAAAATTACCTCGCGTACAGTCCTAGTGAAAGTCGGGTTCTTGTTGTGAGGAGAGTACTTATATTTAACGTTCTGTTCTATTATACAGAAACGGTTGTTACACGTACTACATCTATTTTTCTAATACTCTGAAACTTGAATACCCAAAGTATGAAATTTTTATGGATTTTTGTTTGCGGTACCATTCAATAGATGGCGTAGGAGTTATTTTAGGTACTTTGTCAAGTCTGTTCGTTTTCGTTCAAGTTAAAGTTCAGACTTACTGTTGTTATTTTTTATTATTACATACATAGTTTTACTGGAAGATGTAAAAAAAGACATCATGTATGCACGTGTATAACTTGCTAAACTTTAATGAAGTGCTGTATAAAGTTCTTTAAGATGACACTATTGGGAAGTGAAACTTGTAAATAAGGTCATTCTTTTGAAAAATATACATATTCTGACCTCGAAAGCTAAGAATATGACCATCTGTGTAAAACTTGGTTTGTCATCGAAAGTGTTAAATGTTTTAATTAATAAACAGTCAAATTGTAATGATTTGTTATGAGTCAAATTGTTGCCCTACAATTTGAAAATCATTGTGAAGATACATATGCAAGAATCACAAAAAAAAGCGAGAGAATTTTCCCTAAATCTCGAAGCTTTAAGAAGAAAATTGCATTTTGTTTACAGTTCAATCGGTCTTATTGGTAAAAAAAAACAACTCGAAAACTCTAAATTACATGTAAGATAGAATTTTCGTTTGTTTAAAAGCTTCTTCAAAACAAAAAAGAAAAGGAACGAAGGAGCTACATTTTGGAAAAGTTGGATCATTTCAATTTCACACTATGTCACTAGTACGCCCTGTAATTAATGGGTTAAAGCGATCATTGTTTTAATTTAAAATGGTGCTTAGAATGATCTTTGATGTATTTAATCAATATAATCTGGTGGGTTGGTTTTCAAAATTCAACATTTTAAAAGTTGCAACATTCAGCTAAAGCTCGGTTAAAATAGTCAAATATTCCAACGTTTTTATGATTTACGTAAATGTGTTTTGTAGTATATTGGCGGTATTATAATGAATTAAGCATACCTTCAAGAATAATTCATAGCATTTCGGATGTATGTGTCATTACGTGTGTATTCTTGAAAAGCTATTGTTACTTTCTTGTAAATCCTTTTCTTTGTTTTTCTTTTTTTTACTTCTACCCAATAGCATATAACTATTTTAAGTTTCAAGTTGCAGTTGATTCATTTGGTATGCCTATGTTTTTGTTTTTTTTTCCTTTTCAAAGCCCTAGGCCACAACAGCACACAATACCTTCATCTATTGATTGAAGCTTTGCAACTGGCATTTGCCGATGGCCTGCAGTACATTACGGATCAAGACCATTACAAAACTCGACTTCGTGATCTCTTATCCAAAGAATACGCTGTCAAACGCAGAAGTCTGATAAATCAGAAAACGTACGTTTGTATTTACCTACTTCTTTAAAATCTTAAATATGTATTGACATATGTATGTGTTTCTCTCTCTCTCTATGTATGTATGTATGTATGTGTATATATATACATATTACAAGGAATAAGTACTTAAATATGTTAACTAACTTCTGGATTCGATTAAAGCGAAAAATCGCAACTTAAAAACACCAGCCAAAAAATCAGTTCTCATTTTTAAAAAGGTAGTTTTATTCACTATGAAAAAGTAGATGTAATAATTTTTAAACTACTATCTATGCTTTGATTATAAGTATTAAAATGAAAACATTGCACAAGCCAATGTATTATCTAAATATTCATGGAAGTAAAATAAGCACTTTATATACAATATACACAGAATAAAAATCCAATAAATTCATACAATATAATACAGTAAATAAATACATAATTATTTGTACACATTTCTTTAATTACCAACGCGCGTGTGTGTCTATATATGTATATATATCATGAATATATTCTAAAATTGTGTTTTTATTGATAAACCAAAATGTATTGTCTTCCTGAAGAGCTCTTGGCCAATATGTCAGTGGTGGACTGGATCATTTATGTGATCCAGGGTCTGACACAACGTATATCAGCGTGGTGGACCAACACGGTAACGCGTGCTCCTTCATCAACAGTAATTACATTGGATTTGGTACTGGTTTGGTTCCTAAGGGATGTGGTTTCTCTTTGCAGGTCAGTTCCCATTAGCAATTCTACCGCAGTTGTACTCAGTTGAATAGGTTTGCAACTCCTTATATTTGCTGTCTCTTAACAGTAAAAATATATTAAAATGTTAGTTAGTTCTAGGCTTTTCAGTAAAATCCGGATGACTGCAAGTATATGGACTGTTTGAATTATATGTTATTTAATGTTTGGTATTTACAGATAAATTAGTCATAAACTATGTATAGTGACTGCACAGGCTAACTTTAAGCCTGAAAAGATATATATATATATATATATATATATATATATTATTTATTAATAAATAATAGTACTATTTAATTTTAGTTAGTTAGTTTATTACTACTACTACTACTA